ATATATAGAGAGAGAGAGAGAGAGAGAGAGAATGATCATGTAGTTTATCCCTTCTGAAACAAAATGAAGAGAGGAGAAATGATGGTAAACGGAATACCAAGGGAAACAGGAAGAACGAATTTTTATGTTTCCCCTTAGAATATTTTCTGATAAATTGTGCAGATTAGAACAGTGCAATAGATCCCTATTAAATAATTTAAAAATTGACAAATGAAACTTTTCTTCGATAAGTATTGTCACACCGTGATTTACTCAGCGCACAGATGTGCGTGAAGTCGAATGATATACATAATTAAGGGATTTCGTCCACTTTCTTCTATCCCTAGAGTTCTATGGATGATTCGCAGTTATCTTCCACTTGTGACTTTATAATTGGTGGCAAATGGCGTCTGTTGCGCAAAATTGGCAGCGGATCATTTGGTGCCATCTTTCTTGGGGTAAACATCCATACCTCCGAGGAAGTTGCGGTCAAATTGGAAAGAGTTAACGCCAGACATCCTCAACTGTATTTCGAAAGTCGAGTGTACCGAGTTTTACAGGTAACTGCTACATTCCGCCATGTCACCTCTACTCCATCATCAATTTATTAGGGCACATCAGGCGTACCTCAGGTATACTTTTATGGTCTGGATGGCGTACGCAACACACATCATGCATTGATCATGGATCTACTTGGACCCAGTTTGGAGGATCTGTTTTCATTTTGCGGACGTCGGTTTACCATGAAGACAGTTCTAATGCTCGCCGATCAAATGTTGTGGCGATTGGACTTTTTACATGCACGCAATTTTATTCATCGAGATATCAAACCGGACAATTTCCTCATGGGTATCGGTCGAAATTGCAACAAAGTTTTCTTGATCGATTTTGGGTTGGCCAAAAAATTCCGGTGAGTCTTTTTATCATCCTGGTTCCGTCTTTGTCATCAGCAGAATTGTACTGCATTTTACAGATTGCCCTACATTGTTCTTGGTTATAAAGCTTTCATGCTTTGGACCTGTCGAGTCAGGATCAGTGTCTTAATTTCCTTCGTACTACTTTTATTTTCACTCGATTATATATTGGCTGATAGGTCGGCTCCGTGGATAATTTTTACAGTTTTGCGTGAATAGGTTATGATGCAGTGTCTAACAGATTGCTGGGGGTTGCTTTACTACTCAGTCCTCATCCCGGAGTAATGGATAAGCTAACTGTATCTCATGCAGTATTTTTTTTTTTGAGTTGGCACTAACCAAATGGCACAGCCAAATGCAGCCTATGTAACCATTAGTTCAAACTAGTCGGTGGCCTGTTGTGCAGCTCGTTCTCGTCTTCTGGCGAAACACCTTGGAATGAATGAACCATGACCACAACAGTAGCCTTATCAGACAGTGTACTGATGTCACCCAGTAGCAGTGCCGTCTACAGACTTACACAGGGTTTTGTGATGGAGAGCAGTCGCCAATCAAATCCACATTCCGTCCTTGAACACTGCTGCCGATTGTCATGACCGCTTATTTAGTGCATATAGACCCGCCTTTTTTCACGGGTAGCTGCCAGGGTGCTGACCCATCTCATATCCTTGGCTTGGAAACGCTCCTGGTAAAACAGCTCTGCTCACCACGCAACGGTATGGTCAGTGTCCTCATTTTTAGATTTTGTTCGAGACTGCAACTCTTTCATACAATCATGTGCATTCTGCAATGCCATTGCGCTTTTACTAATCGGAGAAGATTTAAAATAGCTGCTCTGATTTGTATTCAGAATCTTATCTCCCATTTCTCATCCACGGGACCAGATCTGACGTAGTTTCCTTAACAGCTATCAGTGGGTCGTTGAATCGGTTTAATCCGTCATATCGTTTTTCCGATCTCACTTCAGTAAAATCCTGAAAACGGTTAGAAACTACAAGTCCTGCTTGCGAACAAGCATATTACATGGCACAGTGGTTTAGTCGCTGTCACCGGCGTGCTTTTGACCCTGTGGTTTGAAGTTCGAGCCCCGCCACCCAACTTTGGCAGTAGACAGCTTTGCCGTCGTCCAGTTCAATACCACGCATAACCTAGAGTGTCTTATGCGGTTCGCCACTTCATGTTCCGGGGCTTAATTTACCGGTTTCCGTCAATGAACAGCAGGTCTTCATAACTATGGGGTTTATCTGGTCTGCTGTTCATCAAACAACGGTGTTTAATAAAAATAACAATAATAAAGGGTTAGGTTGGGGTATAGAAGGAAATGTGACACATTGTTTCAAATGTCCGTACCGAGGACAAACATAGTGTGTTGATGAAAAATTAATGATGCATTTACTACATTTGACTCCGGTACAAAAATAAGGCACAAGTATGTAAGTCCTAGACCTTCAGTGACCATCCTCACACAATCTGGTAACGAAATTCCTGTCCAATAGCTCTCTCGCGCACGGTACTGTGCAAGTTTGACCCGATGGTGGTTCACTTCTGACAGTGGCATCTGGAACGATGGGCGCAGCTTTTGGGGATCTAGTTCAACTAGTTGAAATCCACGCCGTATTCACCAAATTTGGCCGCAGGCCTGGTGCTTACAAGTGTTGTCTTTATTCATTCTGATAGACGGTTGTTTCATTTTAGTCATAGAGTTGACAAAGCTGCTGTTTCTGGAATAATAAGCAAATTCTTCAAGATTAAAGCAAACCTGTTGTCTTACTGATCCAATCAAATGTAAATGGGACTTCATTGCCTCACAGTCTCTCAGCGGAGTTATCCTTCTTCGATCATCTCACGCGTGCCCATTGTGCATCCACCGGGGGTCGTACAGACTGGCGCTCTTGCATCTGCTCATTATCTTTACAACCTTTGTCTTCATAAGTTCATTGTTTTCACTCTGACAGTGATTTGAACATTCAAACCTTTCCTTCCTTCCTCCCTTCAAATGCGCAGTCATGAC